TCAGTGACAGGCGGAGAAAGAGCTGGTAGGGGTGGCAGAAATTGATGGCAGGAGAATTCAGCTTGCTGGAGCCCTATCTGCTGTGCTGTGGAGGCTGGTGAGCAGTGACAGAAGAGCGCTGGTGGGTAGGACATGAAAGAAGGTGAGATCCCTGCCATTTCCAGATGTGCAGACAGCTTGAGAGATAGATGGTGACATGAGTCCACTTGTCACATCCAAGTTTTCAGTGATGATCATCTGTTACTCTGGAGGAAAAGCCCCAGCGGTGACGGTGAGTGGAGAATCGCACTCGTAGCTCAGAGTGGCATTGCCACGGGGGACTGACTCACACTGGAGCACTGCTTTCTCACCGCTGCCAGGTAGCAGAGCTGGCTCAGTGATGCTGTTGTCCTGCTCAGCCTTTGGTTCATTCCAGCAGTCATCAGGAGCTTGTGCAGCTGCTTGGCAGAGKTTGAAATCCCACAACTGCTAGACTCGGGAAAATTCTCAAATTATGTGTTAGAAATATTAAAGACAGCATTACACCCATTGGTGGATTATTTCTTGGAAGCAGGTCAAACTGTGTGTTAGAAACTGAGAAACGGAAGTTCCTGAAGACGAAAATCACAAAATGGAACTTTCACTGCTTCTTTCTGTAAAGTTTTCTGCTTTCATTTTTACAKAGTTGGTGTCTRTAGCTTAACCTATGGTGTTCACCTTGCTGGTCCCACAAGATCAGGCAGGACTTGCCTTCAAACTGATTCTTTGGACCTTTGAGGAGACTTGTACACTGTTAGCTATGAAGTACTTAAGAGCCCAAAATTTCCATCTTTAGAACAAGTCKTTCCTAGATAAATGCCCCTTTCTCACAATATTTTTTTCCCAGCACTGGAATTTTCCTCAGATTTAAGCCTAAATGAMAATTAAGAAGTGTTGTTGTCCTTGGCAGACTCAGCTCAATCAAAAAAACAAACAAACAAACAACAAAAGCATGCAGTTATGATGGGTGTCAAGTTTGAAGAACAAAAGCACTGTTAGAAATGTGTTGACAGAACTTGCTTATTATATCAAACCTCCAACAGAAAAAAAAGAAACAATTAATTTCTTTTTAGGAAATACGTTTAGATGTGTGCATTGCATGTTTGTTTGCATTGCGCAGCTTTCGTTGCAGTGGATGGCTGCATGCTCCTGGTTGCTGCAGGTTCCATCTCCTGCAAGGTTGGTGCTTTAGCAGGCAGTGTTTGCCTTACTCTGAGGTTTCAGGTTGAGGTGACAACTGTGTGTGAGCAGCAGCAAGCTGCTGGCAAAGAGACACGTGATGGAACGGGTGAATGGCAAAGAGTGATGGAACGGGTGTTCCCTGCCCTTCTGCCCAGTCAGGGCTCCCTGTGTGAGGAGGAGGCTGAATGCAGCAAATGTGCTGTGCTGCAGGCAAAGCCATCGGTGCAGTGGCACTCTCTGCTTGTCCTCAATTGTCACAAGCCATTGGCTGTCAAACAGCTTTGTCATCTTCATCTTAAAAACTCCCCATGTAGACCTGAGTAGGGGAAGCTCTAAGAGTTTCCTTTAAGGAGCATCTCCTGTGACATTTCCTCGAGTAATGAGTGAGCAGGGATTCTTTCCATAGCWGCTGCACAGCAGTGATGCTTTACTTCCTGATGTTCTGTAGTTGTTGGCTGAAATGGTATCAGCCTTTCAAGCCATAAACACATCACATTCTTTTACCAAACAATACTGCCTTAAGAATTAAGAGCTTAGTATTTTAATACATTGTCCTATATAGGAAGTCATTCATATATATTATATCTAACACCATTGACTCAGAGGAAGAAATTGTAGAAATGCARTTAAACATATTCATAAACCACTTAATTTGGCTTTCCTTCTGTACACCTACAACATCCATTTCTCAGTGTTGTCAGCATTTTACTTTGTCATTGTGATTGCTGCTYGTTATTTACTTGCTGCATTTTGAACTTTTAGTGGTTTATTAGGAATTTGAAAGATCTACATTCATGATAAAGTGGGAAAATATGCCTTAAATCAGTTTCCATTTTATTTTGGTCTGTGCATTTATTGCTRTCCTTGTTAGCTGGCATTCTCTTAGCTCACTGCACTCTGCCCATAATCTAATCTATCATGACGAGTGTCAGGCAGCAGTCTRTGAAGTGATTGTGAGGATCTTCAAGTGTCTTCAATGATTTTCTGTACTTGGACTGCAAAATCATTTTGATCTGTTGTTGATAGAACAGGCACAATAAATCCCATTGTTACAGTTCCTGGAACACCACCTATTAATAAGAAACAATCTGGAGGGCAAAGAACATGATAAAAATTCATCACAAGTGGACTCAGGAATAATGCTGTGGGTTTTGACTGGCACCTGGCATCACAACAGCTGTGGATTTCATCCTTGTATCACAAGTCACGCATGGTTAGCTCTCCCTTTCTGCCTGGAGATTTTTCTGGTTGTGATGTTCTGCAAGGCAACGTGCTCTACTCCTCTGTGGGTTTCATTATTTGGTGAAAATACGTTGAACCTACAGCTATAAAGGCATTACATTTTCRAGTGAAATACAGTCTTACTGGTCACCTCTTGAAGCACGCTGCCTGCATCTTACCTCACTATTTCACTTTTCAAAAGGCTCTGGACTAGAAATGTGTAACCTGAGCTTTCAATTTTCAAATGTTTGAGTTATTAAAAAGCAGGAGGGAGTTATAAGGCTATTTTAGCTCATTCCTACTGCAGCAGGCTGTCAGAAATCTTCCCTCCCTACCKTATGATGCTCCTGGCGCTGCAGAAGAGCTGCAGGCTGGGGGTGTGGGCAGCTGCTGCCTACTCTGGGGACTTTACCGGGGTTTTGTGTTAAACTGGTGCCAGTATAAACTGAGCCTGGCCACTTCACTTGTCCAGTTGCTCTTCTATCCCACAGGCAGACCCTGATCGTGTTGTTTGGCCTGACATAAAGCCCTCTGGCTGCCCTAATGTAATCCTTTTGCTCAGCTAATTCCCAGGTTGTTTATTATGGGCCCCGTCCAACACCCATGGAAGACAACACAACCTTCAGCTGCTTCGGCAGCTGTTGGACCAGGCCTAAGAAAGAAGGACTTTTTTGCTATTTTCAGGGCATTTAAGAGTGTGGATTACTTGAAAGGCATACAGAACGTTTTCATCAGGATGAAAAGAGAAAAGGCAGTAGAAAAAAYTACCTTTGAGGTGGCATCTTCCACTTTCTAAGTGTTTTGGAGATGCTTTGSAGGAAAAGATATTGTTTGGTRAACATATCARCCAAGCCCCTGAAATGGTCAGGAGWTGGATAGRCYCCCATGGRACAGGATTCTTCACCCTTCCCAGCCTCCTGTTTGTGAGCAGGGGAGCCTGTTCTCCATGAACAGGCAACAAACGTGTTAGACAGGACATACAGTTACCAAACTAGACATTACCAGAGAGCCATCAGCAGATCCTGTGGAGACACAGATGGATCTAGGATGGATCCCATAGTTTTACACTTGAGAAATATAACTTTTTGATCATTCTGGTCCAAGAACACAGGAAATTAAGGAATCAGTCCTCTAGCTGCCTTGGAGAGTTCAAATTCKTTGAGGAGAAGGGGAGCTTCTCTCACAGGAAAAAAAAACAGCATCAACCTGGGGGAGCCTCAGTTTCTTCTTCCCAATGCCAAACAGAAGAGACAGTAGGTTAGCTTCAACTGGTGGTACATTTCTCAGTGGCTGCTTCTGTCATGTGTCGACACTGTATAATTCTTCACTTTTTAAAAATAATATCTTGGTGAAGAAAGGACATTTTATTGAATGCTCATTAGCCATTCCAGTCATCATTATTAAGTCCATCTCTGAGCCAGAGATTCCATTCTGACAACAGTGTGAGTCATGTTTAAATTACTTTGCAATTCTACTAAASTTATCCATACATCACATCTTACTTGAGACTGTCGTTTGCGTGACAAATTCCCAGGCAGGTTTCTGTCAGCAGAGAAAGGTTTCCCACGAATCAGCACAGTGTTAAGCTTCCYGTAAAACTGATGTTGCCTTTTGGAGCCAACACACTCAGGCTCCAAAAGTTAAAACMCAAAGGCATCAATCATTAGTAAATCTGCTGCACAATGTGATCTGTAGCAACTTGCCTTAAATGAAATATAATTAAAGTGATTTAATAGACATTGTATCCAATAATACTTAATAATACTTCTTAATGGTTAATTTAAGGGAAATGAATTTCCAATTTCATTCTCTGGGTACTTTTTTTTTCTCCTTCTTTTTTTTTTTTTTTT